TTTTGTTAATTTTTTTACTGGGATAAATAGTTATATATACACATATTAATACATTAAAATTTTGTTATAGAATTTGTTATTTAAAATAATTTAATTAATTAAAGATTTGTTATTATTTAAACATTTTTTAAAGCTAGATTTTTTATATTTTTTTTTCTTTTATTTTCAATTTATCTAAAACTTTCTATTTTATATACCAAATATTTACTTTTTTCTATTGGCTTAAGTTAAGCTGGTTTAACTTTTTATTAAAGATTTTTTATTTTTGTATTTGCACTTTCAAGAAGTTGTAAGCGATTTTGTTTATTACATATCTGATCAAGGCTAATGATACATGCTTATCTTTATTTTTTATGTAAAAATCGACTTTTACATTCTTTAATTTATCATTCATTATTCATAACTATTTCTTGCAGAAGAATTAGATGAATTAGATTCTAATGATACTCTGTATCTCGGAATGATGATTTCTTGTTACATTCTTTAGGAAGCAAGCACCTATACATATCTTTTTTAAAAATTGATAAGGAGATTTGTGAAAACTTCAGAAATAGATTTATCAAGATTGGTAAAGCGAATATGCTTGATATTTGTTGAATTGTTTAGAATGTATTCAATAACAGAGTTAAAAATAATCATAGCACTCTTTTCTTTGGAAAATCCAACCATCTTTCCTGAGCTCATTATTGGTATTGAAATACTCTAGTACTAGTACAAATCACATAATTTTAAGGAATTAAAAATAGCAGTGCGAAGTTAAAGTTCAGCCTCTTCAGCTAAATAATCAAGTATTAATAGTAATAACAATAGCTCAGTTCAAAAGACTAATTACACAATGTATAGCAACTGCACTAACTGTGTTGAATTGGAGAAAGAACTCGAATTACTTAGAAGTATTGTTAAGAACTGTTCAAAATGCTAACACAGCTACTTGAGTAACGGAAGCATAAATTTACATAATAACCAAAATAATAACCAGAACAACGATTTAGACTAGGACGATAATAACACAAGCAATTTT